AGTAAACGTGTGTGTGTGTGTGTGTGTGTGTGTGTGTGTAAAATAGTATATCAGTCTGGCGAGTAAACAAAAAAACTGACTAGCCAATGGCGATTATATTTCCAAGGTGTGTGTAGAGGGTTGTCCTCTTTTGTGGCTTTTTACGTTTTTAATATCAATCACGTTGCACTCTTTACTTTCTCATTCATCCACGTTTCTTTATCACACAGCTTTAACAAGTTAATAACTTCAAAAGTCCTGCCAACTGAAAAATGGGCAGACATATTTACCTGAGGACAAAAATAGGACACATTTGGTTACAATCTCTAAGACTCTTCAGAGAAGTAGACTGTGGACATATTCAAGATCAATCACAATAAAAATTTGCCATATAGCCCACCCCTATTTAAATAATTTGTTTAAAATAGGGGGGGAAATAATAATGCATATTAGATGAAATACCATGATTTCACTCATTTTGTCCACTGCAATGTGGTTGCAAGTGTGTTCTGGGTGTCACAAGATCCAACTTCCAAGTCTCTATCAGATTTTATTTTTTTACCATCCTCCAGTCAAATATTGTAAGTCTGCTTGCTTAAAGTAATTGTATAGCTTTGGTAAACAAGCCACAGGCTTCAAAGTATTATTCATGTCTGTAATGGTGTGGGGCAAGTTCTAAAGTTTAATGCCATGATTTGTCAAATAAATTATGTAAATACAAGTCAGTAAGAGTTTTTTGTTTTTGAAAGAAATTAATACTTCTATTCAGCAAGGACACATTAAACTGATCAATTATGGTAATCATAAGAAATGTTTCTTGAGCAGCAAATCAGCATATTAGACTAATTTCTGAAGGATCATTTGACACTGAAGACTGGAGTAATGGCTAATAAAAATTCAGCTTTGCATCACAGGAATAAATTACATTTTAAAATATATTCAAATAGAAAATAGATGTTTTAAATTCAAACTTTTTTTCACAATATCACAGTTTCTAATAAATCAAATAAATGCAGCTTTGGTGAGCATAAGAGACTTCTTTCTTATAGTCCCCAAACGTTTTAACAGTAGTGTATATCCTTAGAATGATGAAGACTAGACTATGTAAAAACCTGAATATAACTGTGCATGTAAAGGCACCAAGTACTGATTGCTTTAGCAAACGCCGCAAATTAATTTAACTTAGTGTTAGCAATTATAAAACATAAATCACATAATCAAAGGCCTAATGTCTAATCACAACACAAACGTTTGAAGAAATAGGCTTCCCCCAGCCTGTTGAAAATGATCAGTGAGTCAGCGCGCAGAGGCAGTGCGGATTTGAGAGAGTTCCTCGAGGCAGATGAGATCTGACCATATTCAGGCAATTTGTGCTGAGTGCCCATCAACATCTGCACATAACTTTACAGAAGCTCTCCAATGCAGCGGAGGCCAGAGAATTATTCCCTCTCCCTGCCTGTAATGAGACTTCATTTAAGTGGCAGACTAAAGAGAGTAGGGAAGGCAGATATTCGGAGGCACTTAAAAAGGCTGGATAACAGCATCAAATCCCTCCTCCATCCTTTTCAATCGCAGCTGCTGCCTGTGAAGGCAGGACTGTTTGTGTTAAAATCAAGAGGCTCATGTTGCATTCTGGTAACAAGAGGAAAATATCAGCCATTGAAAGACTAGGCTTAGACCCAATAATTTGATAAGGCCTTTGGAGCACGAGGCTATTATGATGTCAAGCATTCGTGCCTGTAAATGATGAGGGGGTTTATGACTCCCCCGGAAAGGGGGAGTGGACAGAACCTTGTGCTTTCCCATAATCCTCACTTGATCATATGTATTTACCTGTTGCGATTATAGTTGATATGTGATGTTGTTGTTTGCTAAAGCATTTTAGCACTGCCGATAGCATTTATATTGTTTGTTGAAAATAAAAAAAATTTAAACAATTCCATCATTTCTCCCCTCAATTATTTGCTATAAGATATAGTTTTGTAAATTCATAATTATTCCACACAGATGAACTAATCAAAATTAATTTTGCCTTTCTATCATATTAACTCCACCACTTCCATTGTCACAGTATTTGCTAAACTGGAAAGAGAGATTGTTTTTGCATTAGTTTTTTTGTTTAAATAAACTTCCATAATTTCTCCCTTAAATTTTTTGCTATAAAATATAGTTTTGTAAATATGTGAAAATTAATAAGTAATCCACATAGATGAATAAAACAAAATTAATAATTTAACCTTTCTATCATATTAACTCCACTTCCACCATCATCTTAGTACTTGCTATATACTGTAGAGAGAGGCTGTTTTTGCATTCATTTAGTTGAAAAAAAAACAAGTAAAATAATAAAATAAGATATGATAAAAAAAAATACAATTTCACATTTGATAAATGATAATAAAATAAAATGCTTTTTAAATAAATTGTATAAATTTTACCCTAAATTATTTGCTATAGAATATAAATGGATTTATTAAAATATAAATCAAAAATATATCTCAAAAGTAACAATCTTGCCTTTCTATTACACATTAATTCTACATCCATGTTATTTGCTTTACTGCGCAGAGAGGATGTTTTTGCATTTATTTTGTTGAGGTAAAATATTTCACCTAGATTTCAAATGCTGCTTTGCATAAATCATTTCAATTTTTTTCTTTTTGCATGTGCAGCTTAAAAACTCAAGATGCTCAACCCATGCCTACAGTATGTAAAATGTAGCTCCCTTCCCCTAGTGAGCTGCCAATACAGCATTTCAAGACATCATATGTCCTCTCCCAAAGTGAAGGCTGTTCCAACTAGATAAGATGCAATCCCAGAGTGCACTGCGGTAAGTTCAATGAAAAAAAATATAATCAAAGCATAAAATGCCAACTGGAAATTCTCCCACTTAACTCAGTGCTAAAAAGTACACATAAAATAGTTCAATCTAGCTAAAATAGACTATTTTATTCCATATATTTGTTTTCAGAATCAATTGAGTCTCTTATACGCCTTTAACCAGCACAGAGATTCTGCATACAGTAGAGCGTTTCAGATCAGCCACTTATGAGGTTCTTTTTAAGTTAGGATGCTCTGTTAGAAAGCAGCTTCTTATAGAGCCAGGCAGTTCACTATAGAACAAAAAATGGTTCACACATTTAAATAACTTGCTAGTAATCAGGACTTAATACAGTAATTGAGCCATCAACCACAAATGCTGATGAGATATTGCATTTTTCATTCATAACATTTAAGAGAAATAGACCTTAATGTGTTTATGTAGTAGGATCTGAAGACACCAAATGGTTCCTTCTATCTTAAAGGCACAATATGTAAGATTTTTTTATTAAAATATCCAAAAACCACTAGAACAGTGTTATATATATTGCTGACTTGTGTACTTACATTATCCCAAATGTTTTGAAGAATGTTTAAATCCAGAGAAATAAGCAATTTTAACTAGTGACACAGAGCGTGTCCATAGTGTCATTGTGTCGCCTGCCAATGACGTCATACACCCTCGATTTCCAGTTTTGTTTTGTAGAAAACATGGAAACACCAAAAACACTTTAATATGTTGTGTGTTTTAACTCCCATGATTCCACACTCAGTCACGGCGTCATCAAACTACGTCTTTGTTTCTTTATTTATTTTGAATACGCACCCTCTAGCGGCGAAAATGACATATTGTGCCTTTTAAGTGAGTGGTTTAGCCAAAAGACCATCCGAGATTAGTTTATTTCTTCTTCAGAACAAATTTGAAGAAATTTAGCATTAAATCACTTGCTCACCAATGGATCCTCTGCAGTGAATGGGTGCCGTCAGAATGAGAGTCCAAACAGCTGATAAACACATCACAATAATCCACATGACTCCAGTCCATCTATTAACATCTTGTGAAGTGAAAAGCTGCGTGTTTGTGATAAACAATTCCATCAAGACTTTTTTTTTTTCAAACCATTGCTTCCAGCAAAAACAGTCCTCCATCTATAATAATGCTTTCTCCAGTTAAAAAGTCATCAGGAGAGAAATATGCACATATCAAGCACTGTTTAAAAACAGTTCTAAACATATATGTCAGTGGATTTTGATGTGAGAGGACAACAGGGGATGGACTTTTTCACTTTAGGAAGTGTTATAATGGATTATGGACTTACATTTTGGCCAGAAGTGATGGTTTAACGTTAAAATGCATTAATGATGGATTTGTTTCTTGCAAACACGCAGCTTTTCACTTCACAAGATGTTAACTGATGGACTGGAATAATGTGGATTACTTGTGGATTATTGTGATGTTTTTATCAGCTGTTTGGACTCTCATTCTGACGGCACCCATTCATTGCAGAGGATCCATTGGTGAGTAAGTGATATAATGCTAAAATGTTCCAAATCTGTTCTAATGAAGAAACAAACTCATTTACATCTTGTATGGCCTAAGGGTGAGTGAGCAAATTTTTATTTTAGACGGAACTATACCTTTAAAATCCTTTAACAACTACTGGAGCAGCACAATAGAAGATAAATGTACTGTCACCGCTGTGAAATAAAGACTTAGTACCAAACCAAAAGCATCTAATGCTTGTTATGGTGTTTGAGGCTTATGGGACCAAACGGTGTCATGTGAGCAAGTTAATTACGACAAAGATAATATGGAAAGACAAAGAAAAATACAAAGGGCCATGTATATTACAAATCATCTTTTAGCTGCTCTCCTCAGTCATTTTCTCTCTTTGTTCATATCATGCAGACACTGTGGATATAAAGATATATTAAGCTGCACAACAAATAAACACTTCAGAGTCCCTACCCCTCACGCTGGCAGCCGGTTGCCCACTGAGAGAAATGTGTGGAGCTCTGGCTGCACTTCGTTCTGAAGAAAACACTGTGTGAGGCTGAAAGCCCAGTACACACCTGCATTTCATCTTTCACTCACAACCCACTTTGTTGGCTTTAAATGGCACAGCCAGACACCTACGGTTCACCTATAACCACCCTGATGAAATAACACTTTTACACTGCAGCAAAGTGGTAAGCAGTAACTACAGTATGACAATGAATGTTACTTCTGCTGATTTAAAGCAATAACTCGCTAACGTGTCATCATTCCGTCCCCTTGATGTCATTCCAAACTTGTATGAACACAAAACAAGATTTTCTGACAAATGTGTCGGTGTTATTTTGTCTATACAATCAAAGTCAATGGGTTCCAGTGTTGTTTTGGACTTTCATTGTAGGGACAAAATAACCCTGACATATCTTTCAGAATATCTTGAATGACTTTCCAATGAAAGTCACAATGAAAGTCGATGTGTTATTTTGGACCCTAATGTAAAAATTTAACCTAACAGTTGGGTTAGTCCATATTTGACCCAATGTTGGGTTGAAACAACCCAGCATTTTTTAGAGTGTATGAAATTAAAATTCCATTTTCCAAATGCATCTTGATGTTATTGTGAACTATCCATCCATGTACGTTTCATTTTGGTTACATTTTTTGAGCCTGTAATTTTTAATCAAAATGTAATTACTCGATCTTCCAGAGAAACAACAGACTTCTCTCTGGTGACATATGCTGGACTTTTCCACTCAAGCTCGCATTCAGTTCTGTCTCCATCCAATCAGCTACTAATGGATAGAACCAAGTAGGGTTGAGCGATATAGCTAAAAAATGTATCAACGATATAATGTTTCATGTCGTTCGGTATCGATAATTATTGACATTTTTATAACCTTTTTTAAAACAAAAAGCAATAGAAAACAAATATCTCATTTCTAATGTTTTATATGCAGATTAAAGAGGTCTTTATTGTATAGGTCTAATCACCGCATCTCGCGCGACACTGATGATGCACACCTAACATTCAAATGCAAATGTTTCTTTTAAATTCGACTAATATTCATTCTTTATTCACAATCTCCTCATCACAGGCAGGCACAGCACTCATTTCAGCATGTGTTCGTGTTTGTATGTGCTGTCTGCTTCACTCATAGCACGTGCCTATATCGTGCACTATATCGAACATTTTTTCTATCGATACCAAAGAAGGTGTACCGTCGATAAATATCGATACCGTTTTATCGCCCAGGCCTAGAACCAAGTCCCCGCAATACATTTTTTTTTCTTTTTTAAATAATTTGTTCCATAATATGTTACAAATGATCTGTCGCTACTTCTGATCATTGCAACTTTGAGGCAAATATAAAAAATATCAACACTGAGTAAGATCTTTACAATGAACCAACTGATTCATCTAAAAGATTCATTTACAAATATAGCCTAATATCTGCTTTATGCCTCAATTAAACCAACATATGAATACTTGGAATATAGTGCAGTAGTTGTCTGAACTGCTTTTGAACATTTCAGGGCGCTGCCAAATGGATACGTTCAGTGGATTTTTTCCCCATGTTTTAAGGCTGAAACTAATTGCTGACCCTAAAGATACTGTTCAAATCCCTCAAATCACACAAACAGCTTAGAGTTTGTGTTTTTCAGACATTGTCATTGTGCCTGCACACTGTGACCAGTGAGGGGATCAGCTGGTGGTAAATTGCTGTTCCAAATCCGAAGAGACATTGGATTGACTGTGAGAGGATTCCTTTAAAGCGAGCTGTGAGTGGGCAGCCACTGTATGTGGGATACTGTGAGAGCCTCTTAACTGCAGAAAATCACATTTGGGCCAATTTGTTTTACAAGGTGCTGTCTGATGGTATGGCAAATCACCCAGGGCAATTTCTCAAATACCCGAGTAACAGTGGGTTAAGATCAGGACTGGACAATATGTCAGATATTCACAACAGATTCAATACTTTTTAAACAACATTGTGAATATTACACTACTATTCTGGGGCTGATACGTTTTTTGTGTTTATTGAAAGAAGTATCTTATGCTCACCAAGGCTGCATTTATTTGATCAAAATACAGTTAAGCTGTAATATTGTGAAATATTATTTAACTGTAATATTGTGAAATATAATTTACTTGAATATAGGCTATTTTAAAATGTAATTTATTCCTGTTATGTAAAGCTGAATTCTCAGCATCATTACTCCAGTCTTCAGTGTCACGTGATCCTTCACCTGATATGCTGATTTGCTGCTCAAGAAACATTTTTTTATATTATTTTCAGTAGGAATGTAATGATTCACTCAACTCATGATTGGATTCGATTCACGATTTTGATTTCAAGATTCAATTTTCTCACAATTTTTTTTTTTAACAAAATGAGATTAAAGACATACAGTAAATGAAAAGGTGTCATTTTATTAGGCTATTGCTGCACGTTACTTTGTGAAATTAAAATTAAAATTAAAATCAAAACTAAATTTAAATTTTAAAACAAACCCCAAATCAAACAAGTAAGTTACACAAATAAAAGAAATCTCTTAATATGAACAAACTAAGGCTTTGTCTGTGCTCTTTCCATTTAAAATTAGAGGCAACCACTGGATTTTAATCATGATCCAAAAAAGATGCAGCATTCGTGCAGCATGAGTAGAGTAGTAGTATAATTTCGAAATTTGAAGCAAAAACAGAATGGTCTGACTTTAGTTTTGTGAAACTATACTACATAAAACATATCTGAACGAAACAGCAGACTAGCTGAATGAGACGCAGACTCACTCTCTGACAGCAGGTGGCGCTTATGAACAGCAGTGATACAGTGTTTCCTGGGTTACTGCTGTAAACGAAGCAGCACTGCACTTATGAACACTGCTGTAATATGCATTGTTCAGAGGCAAGATGAACAGAAAATACCACGTAAACTTTTCTAAAGACAGTCAGTTCCCCTCAGAGATACATTCATATAAAAATACAGAAGAATTTACGGACCCACGTTATATTAAGTGGCCTTAACAACTATGTACTTACATTTAAATTAATAATTTGGTACAATGCACTTATTGTGTACATACATGTTTTTACATTGTACTTATATTTTAAAAATACCTGCATGTAATTAAATCTGTAATTAATTTCTGTAATTACATTTATAATTACACAGCTGACTCATCCCTTACACCTTAACCCACCCTTAAACCTGCCCATACCAACAAACCTGTCCCTAACCTACCCATATCCCACCTCAATAGCAGCAAAAGTGTTTTGCAATACAATATGAACACAATAAGTACATTTTACTTAATTTTTGATGCAAGTACATAGTAGTTAAGGCCACTTAATATAAAGTGGGGCCGCATTTACTATAATCTTCAATTTAGTGTGTCTTTGCTGCATAAAAGAAAAAAAAAGTATCTTAATGACTTTCAATGTTTTGAACAGAAGTGTACCTTGTTATAACCTTGTGCGTATTTACTAAGAAAAACCCATTAGATTTATTTTTTATTTTTATTTTTACAATATTATACTTCTTGCAGTAAACATTTCTGAACATTAATATTGAGATACCATTTTTTGTTATATCACACATTCCTAGTAAAACCTACAATGGTAAATCAAGCTAGTAGGATGTCTAAACGATATATGACTCATATTCAGAATCAGCACTGAATCTATATTGGTAAAGACCTCAGAGAGGGGGCAACCCCTTTACTTAGAGACTTTGCAAAACCCTCTTATATCAATGTTACTTTCCAAAAGGATAGGGATTCTCTCTTCCAATCATTTCCATTTCATCTAGGCATTTGCACATAATACTAAGCTCTGACATATAAGAGCGGGCGTAAGGGCTATTATGCAACGTTTCTGAGCACTTCTTTATCATCAACTCAAAACATCTACTTTAATAACTGAATGAAATATCTCAATACAGAGGTTCCTGCCTGCAGCATCTAACCACTTAAATACTACTGTACTAATACATTTAAAGGGGTCATATGATGTTGCTAAAAAGAACATTTTATGTATTTGGTGTAATGAAATGTTTATGCGGTTTAAGCTATCCAGTGCGTTGTGATTGGCCGAAACTGTAAAGCATGTGACGGAAATGTTACGCCCCTTACCATACTGTGATGCCCTGTCCGGCCGGAGCGACGAGACAAAAACATTAAAACCCATTATAAACGAGGCATTTGTTGCATCCAGTGGGGACATAATTATGGATTATAATGACTTATACTGTCTTTTTACACGTTGCATCGCGCCGTGTAAACATAAAACCATGTCTGCATTTGTGATCGGAGAAATGACAAACAACAAGCGCTACTCTACACTGCACAAAACTCGCGTTTGAATCGTCAGTGGCAAATCCTTCAAATATAAAAAACTTACTTACAGACTGTGAGTCAGAACAGCCGGCATTGTAGTCTACTCTTCCAGGATCAGGAAAAAGTCCTCCAAAAAATGTGCTGCACACATCTGAATATTTGGGTTGAACTGTTCTGGAACAGTGCTGTAAATACAACTTAACCACTGATTTCTAGTCGTGTCCTCTTTTGGAAGGCCAAACAAAGTAGTTTCGCTATCACAACGAAACACACAGCGTCACACATGGCGGGCTAGAGTGAGCGGAGGCCGGCGGATTTGACGAAGGAGCAGCCGGCTGGACTCTGCTTCGTCCACGGTGACAGCAGAGCTTGCCTAAAAACCTTCACTCTGAACTGTAGTGCATCTATGAGCCAAATTAAGAGACTGGAGTCACACACAAACAACAAAAAAGCAGCCAGAAGATTTCTGGGATTGTGGGTATTCCCCAAGTAAGTTTGATTAATGCAATGAACAACCAGAAACCGAGTCTGTACGAGGGAGAGGAGACAGAGCACCAGCAGAAAACTAAATGGGAGAAAATTTAATGTTCAATATGGAAATGTGAAAATGCTGCCTTTCAGTTAAAAAAGCCTAACATCTTTTATACTGTCGACTTCAGAAACTAAAACCTGCAAAGTTTTAAACATACTAGTAGGTGTTCCTGTTGCTGGTAATGTTCATTAGTGGGCAGCACAAATGTTTATTAGTGGGGGGAAAATGTTTCTATAAAATGTCTATATATATGCATCATATCATATGAGACGAAAGAGAATCGGCGTGTGCTCTTTGTCACTGCAACAGTCTACCTGCAGCGAAAATGCAGGCGCCGGACTATCTAGGTTCTTCAACAGCCACTGGCTGGTGAGGGATCTGCGGATCTGTGGATGAGGTCAGATTCCTGTACAGCAAATCTCTTTAAAGCAAATCAGTTTACATGCTACAAACAGCTTATATGTACTATAAGTAAAAGCACCAACCTACTTATATGGTGAAAGGCTGAAAACTCAAAATTGTTTGTCAGACTTACATTTCAATAGCGTTAATTTCAAATCAATAAAATCAGACAGCAGTGGCAACAATGTGTGCTTCTTTAGCCCAAATAACACTAGAATTCAGACAAGACAGAGCAAGTTACTTTAGGTATGAAACAAAACCTCAGCTTTCAAATTTTGTAATTTGGTAAGAATTTAAACAATAAATACTGTTTTGTGGCTCTTTAATGTGTGTGATAGATCGCTGTAGTGCCTCAGTTCAAGCAGCATGTGAACCGATCATCTCTTCCACTTTATTAGTTAGCCTATAGCACGAAATAAACATGAATGAACATCAGAAGGTATCTCGTTTCAACCACGGAAAGATGTCTATACACACCATTTTTCAAGTTCAAGTCTACCGACGTTAATCTACTCTCCTGTCTGGTTTGTTTGTCAGACAAAAGGGCAGATTCGGCATTATGATTGGTCAGATCGCCCGTCAATCAAACTCCCTGCAAAGGGTCAATTGTCTGAACGATATTAGCAATGAAAGAAAAGTAGCAACAGATCTTTTCTTCAGTGTGAAACGGTGAAAAAAAAAATGGGCAGGGACTTGGCTGTATCCATTGGTTATCGACTGATTTTGAGATTTGGGCGCTACACTAAAAATAAATGCGAGCTTGCAGTTGATTGTGGAGGGATGGGATTTAGGTGGACTAAATGATTGGTATACTGATTGGTCTGGTATATATACTGCACTTTAAAGTCACTGTTTTCACCAGAAGATTGAGTAACAACATTCTGATAAAACATTACGAGGTCAAAGAAAAATATTAACATGAATCTTTCGCAGTAAGATCTATAACATGTATTCACAAAAATGGGTGAATTTCCTATTTCAAGGAAGCATTGTATAATTGGGCTACTTTCAAGTTCACCTAAAACAGCTTCAAAACCAGCTAGATGGAGTGAAACAGAATTAAACAAAACAAAAACAAAAAGATTTTTAAAAACTATGCTATAAAAAAAGTTGACATACCGTGCTACTAAAGT